CGTGCCCAAGATCCCGAGAGGAGAATGGAGGAGAAGGGATTGTGGCATGGCCATCCCCCCTGGGGGGTGATTTCTCGCTTTTTGGCTCTCTGTCTCTCTCTGTCTGTCTGACGAGTGCACATGCCCTATAGCAAAAACCTCTCCAAAAAAAAGAAAGAAAAAAAAAAAAAAGTACCCTGATCCAATAGGACTGGAGTCCTCATGGAAAGGGAATTCGGGACGGACCCGCACGGGGAGGACACCATGTGAAGATGGAGTGGAGATCGGGGTGATGTGTCTAAGCCAAGGAACTCCCAAGATCACCTGCAGCTCCGGAAGCTGGGAGCCCTCACAGCCTCAGCGGGGACCGCCTGCCCACACCTATCCTGCACCTCCAGCCTCCAGACTATGGGACACAAATTCCTATTGTTCTTTTTTAATTGCCAAGGGCACATGCACTTGCCAAAGAGAGACAGAGAGAAAGAGAGAGGGAGGGAGAAAGCACCGCTGACTGGGCATGGTCATGCACAATCCCTTCTCCTTTATCTCACCATCACCATCCCATCAGGATTTGGGGCACTCACACATGCCTGGCATGTTTTTCAAGCTGCTGGGGCTGAGACTCGAACTGTAGTCAGCCATGTGAGACCCAGCTCCCATATCAGCTAGGCCACCTATGTTCTAATCACCAGGAGGGACACCCCAGTGCACCACCCCAGGATGTTGGAGTCCCAACCTCCAGCCCCTGCAGAGGGTGGGCGGGCTTAGGAAAGGGTTTCTTTGGAGAGCTGCCACTCCCTTTCCACTCCCAAGGGGAATCTGGGGACTGTGCCCTTCTCATAGGACCGGGAGTGGGAGGAGACAGAGATACCTGCAAGACAGAGTCTCCAGCAAGAGAAACAGCCAGGGCCTGGGGCTGATGTGCCGGGTACTCGGGGGAGGGCAAGGAAGGTGACCCTGATGTCCCCACACTCCAGGTGTGGACCAGGGAGAGGGAAACAGGCAGCTTGGCCTGGTAAGAGTGTCTGGGAGCTAAAGGAAGCTGTTGGCACCACCGGCTGCCAAGCACTAAGAAGGAAGATGCCAAGAGCTAGGTAAAACCTTTGCTGCTGGGGAACCGTGGGCACCATAGTCTCCATGAAGACAGCCCAGCCCCATGGTCCCTGTCTTTGGATCTTTTATTCCCACCTCCCCCTACCTACCTCTTATGGGTTCCACATGGCTGGTAAGACCCAGGAGGAGGCCGCAAGGCAGAGTTGTACATGGGCTCTGAGGCTGCAGAAACCAAGGACCACAAACAATACAGCAGGTTCCCTCACAGCTGCAGAGGCCTGAGTTGGACCTGGGCTCTCTGGGCTAAACTCAAGGTATAGCCCTGGGGGGTTTCTCTGGGGGCTGCTGAAGTGTCCCTTGTTCTCTTTTGGCTCCGAGACAATGCCCACACGCCATGGCTCAGGCCTCCCCACCTACAGCACCAGCAGCCAGGCAGCTTGCTTATGTCTGCCCAGGGCTGCCTTCTCGAGCCAGAGCCCTCCTTCCCGCTGCTCATAAGCACCAGAGGCAGCACTGGGCCCACGTAGATATGCTGGGATGCTCCCATCTTGAGAACCTTAGAGACTCCCATCTTTAGGTCCCTTCTGCCATGTGAGGTAATGGGACCTGGACACCTCTGGGGACCATTATTTAATGACCACAGGCCAAATTCCCATCCAGTGAAAATGAGAAGGATCTGCAGAATCAAGGGGGTTTAAAGCTGTAGTGTTTAGACTAGAGTGGGCAGCACATATTGGCTGCTAAGCAGAAAACCCAAGACCCTAGAATGGATCAGACTGAATATTACTGACCTGCCTCAATCTCTTTCAGAGAGGAGTAAGAACTGGTTTCAATTTAAGGGGCAAAGTGGGACAAAAGGGAGCCACTGAGAGTCACATTAGGCTGAGTGCCCAATCATCAGCCTCCAGTCCAAGAGCTGACACCAGGGCTTATAGTCATCTGGTAGCTTGGGCCTTCCTCTGTTAAGAAGAACTTTTTCCAAATGCTCAAGGAAACAACATCCTGAGGAAGCAGATCTGGGAAAGGCACTCTGGAGAAGACATGGCACAAATGCAGGTGCATGTCCTCCTCCTGAGGTTTATTAGATCTGTGCTGCCAGAGGCTGCAAGGGCCGGTAATGCAGCTCAGACAGCGGGCAATGCACGGACTACCAGGCCAGGAATCCCAGAAACCCTGGGGGTGAGCCCACAGCCTCCTTGGTTGGAATCCTGGTCATTGCTGCAATGGAGGTGGGAGTCCAGTCAGGTCCTGGAGATCTGCCAGGGGTGGTATGGGGCTGCCCGGGAGCAGCAGAGCACCTGGCTACACTGACCTCAAATGAGAAGATTTCTTCTGGACACAACTCAGCAGCCTCAGGGGATGGGTCTGCAAGCTAGATAGGGGCAGGAGGGCCAGCAACAGCCAGAGGGCTAGCAGGAGGGGGACAGGCACAGGACAGTCCTGCAGCTCCCAGGCATACGCATGCTGGGCCTGCAGCTCCCAGGCATGTAGTAGGCTGCCTGAAGGGACTGCTATCTGGCAGACCAGGCTGCTGCAGAAGGCCTGGTCACAGGTCACTGGACAGCACAGACATTAACAGCTGGTAGGACATGGCCACAGCACAGAGGGGCTGGCACAGCAGGGCCACATGGGAACAGGGTGGCCACAGGTGCTCCCAAAGCCCTGGCCTGGGCAGTAGGCACTAGGGATGCAACACAGGGCATCAGGGCAGGCCAGCGGGAGGCTGGGGCAGCTGGCATGGCACACGGTGGCACATGGCTGGTGGGTCAGGGTTGGGGTGGGCTGGTCTGTAGCCTCCCGTCTGGGGGGCTTTGCACCAGCCCAGAGCCTCCTTGCGGCTCATG